CCAGGGCGGATCGTTAATTCCGGGGGGGGAGTCTATTTTTTAAGGAAAGGAGAATAAAACAGAATTCATATTGACTGTCTTGAAGCTGTCCTTTCCACTGCTCGTGCAAACATCCCACCCTCCCACCCGCAACTTGGTTGCAGGACCTCTTAAGACCGTGACGGTAGGTACCAAATGGCACTTGGCAACGACACCGCACCGACGACGACAGCGACCACGACGACGACGACTCCGACGACGACTACGGCGACACCGACGACGATTCCGACGACTTCGACGACGACGACGATTACGACGACGATGACACCGACGACGACGACGACGCCGACGCCGACGACGACGACGCCGACGACGATGACGACAACGACGACGACGACGACGCCGACAACGACGACGACCACGACGACGACGACGACGACGACGACGACGACGCCGACGACGACGACGACGACGAGAAGGATTTCGGCATCCGCGCGCGGCGGGCGCGCGCATGTGCCCCGCATAGTGTTTTGGTTTACAAGGGATTGTGGCCCTGGCAAGCGCGCGACCGATGTTAATGGAGTTCGACGCGCGCGCATAAGCTGCTCGCGCTACCGGAATTTTGAAAATCGGACCGTCTTTAGGGTTGGGAAAGCGCGCGCGGGTAGACATTTGGATTGCTTATGCATTCTTGGGGGAAGTGTGATGCGGTTCGCGTGATTTAATGAAGCTCGGGTGGTGACATGGTTGAATACACCGTGTGTTTGGAAGGATTTCGACATGCGCGCGCGGCGGCCGCGCGCATGTGCCCCGCATGGTTTTGTCCAATGGATTGCGGCCCTGGCAGGCGCACGACCGATGTTGAAGGCGTTCGACGCGCGCGCATAAGTTGCTCGCGTGACCGAAATATTGAAAAACCGTAGTTGTTTCCTGTATTCGGAAAGCGCGCGGGGGTAGATGTTTTGATTGTTGTGTGATTTGTCCGAGGATGTATGGTACGATTCGTGTGATTTCATGAAGTTCGGTCTTGACATGGTTGGAAACACCATGTGTTTGGAAGGATTTCGACATGCGCGCGCGGCGGCCGCGCGCATGTGCCCCGCATGGTATGTTTGTACAAAGGGATTGTGGCCCTGGCAGGCGCGCGACCGTTGTTGAATGAGTTCGACGTGCGCGCAAAAGTTGCCCAAGAAGTGGACAGGAATGTTAAAAACCATGGGTAGTTTTAAGGATTCGTCAAGAGCGCGCGAGCAGATTGTTCAGAATTGTTGGGTGGGAAAGTCGTATGTTTTCATTGGTTTCTTGAAGCGGGATGTTGAAATTGTTGAACACACAGTGTGCTTGTAAGGATTTCGACATGCGCGCGCAGCGGCCGCGCGCGTGTGCCCCGCATGTGTTTGTTGGCAACAAGCGGTTCGTGAACAAATTTTATGCTAGAACAAAAATGCCACCGCATAGTATTGTATGCAAGGGGACCGATACCGGCCTGGCTGGGATAGTATGAATTCAGAGGTCGGATGGACATTGGGTCAGAATCACATGTGTTTTACATACGTTCCCGGGAAGTCGATAAGTCAAGGAGGGGGGATCATGTATTTTATTTGTTTTAGAAAAAGAAGAATCTATGCGACGGCGACGGCGGCGACGGGCGGCACCGCCCGCAAGAGCCGCCACTCGCCCCGAGCGGCGGCGACGGCGACGGCGGCATCGGGCGGCACCGCCCGCAAAAACCGCCACTCGCCCCGAGCGGCGGCAATGGCGGCGGCGACGGCGACGGCGACGGCGACGGCGACGGCGGCGGCGGGCGGCACCGCCCGCAAAAGCCGCCATTCGCTCCGAGCGGCGGCGACGGCGACGGCGGCGACGGGCGGCACAGCCCGCAAGAACCGGTATTGCTTTCCAGATGGTAGAGCCAAGAAAAAACACCCAAGTGCAAGCATTGTTTGGGGAACGATTCAGGAGAAAGAACCGGCCCCATGGTCCAGACCTCGGGGGGTCGACGTTCTAAAAAGCTCACGACGTCAGGGGACTGGGAACCCAGACCCCGCCCCAGATCTCCGACGATCGATTTTGTTTTTAATCCGGGCGTGTTTCCTTCATTCCGGCCTCGGGGGCCCGCTATCGGGCCCCGGGTGCGAGACATCATCGCGCTTTCAAAGGGAGCATCGACATACTCCACTTGTGTTGTAGCACTTCGCAGGCTCGAGAGGAAAAGATACCGCACCGATTCGTGGGGGCTTCCGCTCACCGCCGCCCACTTTGGCATTCGGATGTTAGCGGAGCGTCGTGGCAGTACAAGCACCACGGAAGCGAGATTCCAGACGGACGAGAGGTCTGCACGTGGCTCGTGGTGAGTACGGACACCGAAAAGAGCTGCAAGCACATAGTGAAGGGTTTCGTTGTGCAAAACAGATTACGCGGGTTCTGGCAACAGGTGGGACAGTACCTACAGACGGTGAAGCAGCGAGGTCGAATCGATGGCGCGTCCACTGTCAGAGGAGATCCTACAACGCTTCGAGCAGCTGGAGCAGACCAACATGGAACTGACATGAGAAGCGCGAGAAGCCAGAAGCCAGAAAACGAGCAGACTGACTGCAAGCGGTAGCGGCTCGCGCCGCTGAGGGCGCCGCTGGCGTGGGAGTTGCGGGTGGGGCTGCGGCAGCAGCGGCGGCGGCCGACACTGAAGCACGCCCTTCGAGACGAAGACCACGAAGAACCCCGACTGATTCAACGGCAAGGAGGAGTCGTGGTCCGACTGGTGTTTCTTGTGCAAGAGCTACGTAGCCACGCAAGACGAGCGCACGAATGAGCTGATGGACAGGTCGGCCACGCTGGATGAGGAGATAGTGATGGGCAGAACGTTTGCCGACGAGAAGGTTGACGATGACAGGCGAGCGAGAACCCTCTTCCACCTGCTGACTGTCAGCATGACGATGAAGTCGCGAGGCTTCAAACTGACCCAGAATATTAAGTCGTCGAACGGGTTCGAAGGATGGAGACAGCTTATCATAGAGTACGAGCCGGGAGCTCGCGGTCGCCAGGGTGCGTTGCTGAACCAATTATTAAGCAGGGCGTTCAAGGCAGGGGCTGGGCACCGCGAGGCGACCGAGACGCGGGAAGGCGAGGTCGCAGAGTACGAGGAGCAAGCCGGGAACATTTTGCCCGAGTCCTTCGAGGCGAACGCGCAAGTCCAAGGGCAGGAAGACGAAGTGTTGAAGTCACACCTCACGCTGAACGCCAACAGGTTCGTCAGATACCGAGGCATAAGAAATGAGGTCATGGACTGCATCGTGAATCAGTGGGCGCGGCAGCGAGATGATGATTAGGTCAAGCCGATGTACGTGGATGTAGTTCGCGAGTGGTGCAAGGGAAGCAAGTCACGCGACGCCAGGGGGCAAGATCGCAAGGGCAAGGGCAAGGACGACGAGGGCAAGTCGAAGGGCGGCAAAGGCAAGGACGACAAGGGTAAGGAACAGGGCGACAAGACCACGCGGTGCGACTGGCGCAAGATTGCTGGACGCACGGCGGAAACGCGCAGGAAAAAGCGCAGGTGCGATCAGCGGATGCCCCATCAGCACAGCAAGGCGTACACTCTTGTTCCACAGCAGCAGCAGCGCCCTCACATCGCCGTGCCAGGAGCGACTGGACCAGCGATGAGCGGACAGAGCACAGTCCCAGCCTAGACCCGCAAGACTCTGCCGCGATGGCGAACGCCGCCCCAGTTTCGGGCCCAGCGCCACCTGGACATGGCGAGAAGGCCAGCGCAGTCTACGGTGGATCGGCCCCGAGTTGAGCACCTCCGAGCGCGATGGCCGCGACGCGGCGGGAGCGGGCCACGGGCGGGGCCGTCGCCGTCGGAGAGTAGCGAGCGCACCCATGGCAAGACACGGATCGGGAAAACCACATCTACGTGGGCATGTTCTGCGCGTCCGCCAGCGTTCGCGGAGAGAGGGCCCGCTGGCTCTGGGCGATGGATCGAGCCAAAGAGACCGCCGCCGTTAGACGCGGCCGCTGGCCAGAAGATAGAGCACGAAGGCGCGCGCGAGGTCATCTTTAGCGGCAGGGCGACGAACCGTCAAACCATCAACGCGAAATCATGAAGTTCGGGCCCCAGGTGGCGAGCGCGAAGTGCCCGGTCGTCGCGCAGCGGGACTTGCTGGAGGTGGGCTTCGCGCCGAGGTTCGGCGTCTACGCGGACGTGCTAGAGACCCCCAGCGGAAGGCTGTTCCCGCTGACCCTGGATGGGGCGCGTCTGGCATGTACAGGTGACGCGCAGTCGCGGCCAGCGAGTCCGCGATCGCGATCGCGCCGCTCAGGCAGCCAGTTGCAGCTCAACCTGCATCGGTCCATCGAGAAGGTCGGGGGCCCGACGGAGCTGAATGTGATGTCCAGGAAATGGCTGGAGGAGGAGCGCTGAGCCCATCGGCGGCAGCCGCAGCGGCGGCGGCCCCGGCGCAGGCGAGGATGTTCAGCGACTACCAGGATATCGTCGTCAAGTGGAAGGACGCAATCGAGTTGCGCGACAGTCCCAAAGGCCGAGCAGCGCAAGCGAAGGGGGTGCCAGTTATGCCGCCGTTCGCCGAGAGACAGATGCACCGACCTACTCACTGGCCGCGCCGATCGCGGTGCCAGGCATGCGCGGTCGGAGGGCGCCGCGAAGATGTCCGCCACAGGACAGACCAGGAGCGCGACGCGCCGCGGGTCTGGACGGACTACTCGTTCCCAGGCATACGCAGCACTGATGACGCGAAGACGCTGCTGGCGCGCTTGGGCTTGGTGTCAATAGCGATCGAGAGTGCAAACGTGATGGAGAAGGGCACGTCGACTGCGGCATCATGGTCCTGCTGCAGGCCCTCCACCAGTCCTGGGGCCGCAAGCGCGTTGCGATGCCCAGTGACCAGGAGAACGCGATCGCGGCGCTGGGCGGAGCCGTCGCCGCGGAGCGCGGCGAGGAGACCGTCGCGCAGGTCGGCCCAAGGTCGGCCCAAGTCGAAGGGCCCGATCGAGGCGGCAGGGGTCAGGGTTCAGCAGCTCGCCCGCACTTTGGCACGCGCCGCCAATGCGCAGTTCAAGGTCGAGCTGATGCCCAGCGAACCCACGTGCACCTGGCTGCCGAGGCACCCTGGCCGGGCCCTCACGAGGTTCACCGCGGGGGAAGATGGGGGGGGCCACTGCGGCCAGATCGCTGAGTTCGCGGAGACCGCGACGCACGGGCTGCCCGCGGGAGCTGCAGGCAAGATGGAGGCCGGGCGGGACAGCGGCATCTGGCCGGGCGCGGCTAACGCCAGCGACGAGCGCATGATCGGCGCGCCCAGAGGCAGGGCCCTCGCGCGTTCGATCGCGAAGAGGCCCGACGAGAAGAGATGGAACGAGCACCTCTTCGGCAAGACCGCGCGCGCCCCTTTCGACCCGAAGGCGACCCTTCTGGCGACGGAGCCCGTCTCAAGGCTGAGGTGCCGGGCGATGCCCCCCCGTCTGGGGCGGGCGCTTGGTTGCCCCGCCTTCGACGAGACGGGCCAGCAGCGCGCGGCCGAGGGCAGGGTTCGCGTGGAGGCGCTGCTGGGCGCGGAGGACATTGCGAAGGGCCTGGCAGCTCAGGCCGGGGCCCATGGCGACGCCCCCCCCCCCCCGCTGGGGGGGGGGGGGGCGGCCGGGAAGAGGGGGCGGGCCGAGGCCGCGCAGCCAGCGGCCAGCAGCGGCCAGGCGCCCCCAGGCCCAGCGGCTGCCGCAGCACTAGCAGCCGCACCTGCGCAGGCAGCTCACGGAGACGGATCAGACGCGGCCATGCTTGGCCCAGGAGAGAGCGCCGAGATGAAGGGCCAGGGGGCCATCGAGCTCTCAGGGAGGACGACGAGACAGACCTCAGAGAAGGAGGAGATCCCCGATGGGCAAGAAGGCACGCACTATCGGAGGTTTGCCCGCACGCGCCACGCCGCCCGCGGTCCGCGCCGCGGACCTGAGCGAGCGCGCGGCCGAGCACATCGACGAGAAGGGCCTGGCCAACATCAAGGGGGCGTTGTCGGGGCAGTTGCTGCCTGCAGGAGAAGCGAAGGAAGGGCGCGCTCGGTGGCGAGCAAGCACGAAGGATCACAACGCGTTCAAGCGAGCCTACGCCCACGAGGCCAGAGGCAATCGCGCGCGGGGCAAGCGCCCCCAGGACCGGGGGACGGGGGCGGGCACCGCGAGGTGCAGGTTCGTGGCCGCGGAGCTGCGCGCCAGGTTCGCGACGACGCGCTCGCAGGCACCCCGCCCCGGAAATGCGCGAGGCTCGCGCCAGCGATGGCGGCCAGGCTCGCGCAACCAGGCGGTCTACCTGATCGGCCTCTGCGACATCAGCAATGCTTTCTCCTCCGCGCCACGATGCGCGAGGACGTCTACGTGGTGCGACCTGCTGGCGAGGGCGAGCCGAACGTGGCATGGCAGCTGGTGAAGGCGATGTATGGCACGAGGCGCGCGAGCAACCTGTTCCAACACATGGCCATAGGGGCGCTGATCGCCAAGGGCTCCTGCAGGCTCCAGGTGACGGTCATGCTTTTCTTCCATCTCGAGAAGGGCACCTACGTGCTGGTGCATGGCGACGACTTCGTGACAGCGTCCACCTACGTCAACCTGCCGCGGCTCAACGGGGCCCTGGAAGAAAACATCGAAGCGAAGAGGTATCCCTTCGTCGGGCCCTCGGAGGCTGGGGGCGAGGCGAAATCCGGCACGCTCCTGAAGCGGGCGCTGAGCTTGACGGAGGAAGGCTTCCACGGTGAGAGCGACGTGAAGTACGCAGTCGTCGTGGCGGAGGCGCATCCGAAGCTGGCGGGAGAAGGAGAGATCTCGCCAGTATCGAACAACATCGGGAAGTGCCGACGGCGCTGGGCCGCGCGGCGCTGGACACCCTCAGCTACAACGAGAAGAAGGCGCTCCAGTCTGCGGCGCCGACGGCGTTCTATCTGGCCGCGGACAGGCCAGACATCCCCTTCGTGACGAGCTGGATCATGCGAGCCGATGGAGATCCACGAGCTGGAGCTCAAGCAGCTGGCAACGTACCTGGCGACGTACCCGCAGATGACTTGGCATTTCGAGTGCCAGGAGATGCCGACGGAGATCACGATCGCGACCGACGTCGACTGGGCTGGAGACGACGTGACGAGGCGAAGCCGCGGTGGAGGTTTCGAGTGCATAGGCATGGCGTGCATCGAGAGCTGGGCAGGACAGCAAGCGTCGAAGGCACTGAGCAGCGGAGAAGCTGAGCACGTGGAGGTGACGAACGGAGCGGCCAGGGGCATCTTCACGAAGAACCTGCTCAAGGAGATTATGGTAGAGATGGCGGTGACGGTGGCTGGCGACAACGCGGCGGCGATCGGGATTTGCTCGAGGCTCGGCGCCGGTCGCGTCAGGCACCTGGATGTGAAGTCCCCGTGACTGCAAGAGAAGGTGGTGAGCAGAGCGGTGCGAGTCAAGAAGGTTCCGACGAGCGAGAGCGAGGCGGATCTCATGACGAAGGCTCTGGATCCTACCCGACACCACGAGCTGGTGAAGGGGCTCCCTATGACCCTGCAATCTGCGAGGGGCTCATCAGGGCAGGGAAGCCAGTCACAATCATCGAGACCTCGATGGAGTGATGCGGCAGTAGTGCCGTACGCCATTGCTTCAGTGGTGCCGTACGCAGACGACCTACTTGTGCTGGCTGTTTCGTCCCAGCGGCTGATGCCACGTTGAGTGCGTAGCCGAGCCAGGAACCGTGCAGCATGAAGCCGCGAAGGGAGAAGTGTCCGAGGCTTCCCGCCGCGCAGAGCCAGCCGCAGGGACGCTTGCCACAGTTCGTAGCGTGGTGGATGTCGAGTGAAATGCGCCAGGGATGTCTACAGGCGAGGCTGGACCCAGTCACGCCCGAGGAGGAGTGCGAGACATCATCGCGCCCTCAGTTGGAACATCGACATCGTGTTTTTGTATTGTACGTAGCCCCTCGCAGGCTCGAGAGGAAAAGATACCGCACCTATTCCTTGGGGCTTCCACTCACCGCCGTCCATTTGGGGCATTCGGACCGGGGCCACCAAAAACGGATCCGGGACGCCAGAGTGCCCCCAAGGAGTGGGTCGCGAGGTCTGGGGCTGCGGAGTGAACGAATCATGCCAGACGATGGCCGGGGTCGAGTCATGAGAAATGGCATCGGGGAGTGTTTCGCCGTTCGGCCTCTGAGGGCTCTTACCGGCCGTCATGAAACGGCTCGAGATGAAAATTCGGTCCAGGGGGAATGGGTCGAGACCTGTGGGGGTCGACGTCATGAAAAAATCATGGCGTCGGGGGTCTGGGAACCGCGCGGTGGCCACGCCGCGTGGTGAGGTCGTCGGGGGCACCGGCGGCCTTGAAAACTCGCGCTGGTGAGGTCGAGCCCGAAACGCCGGTCCTCAATTCGCCCTCCCCTGACTTCGGATCCGCCGCGCTTTGGCTGATAATCCGAGTTGAAAAATTATGTTGGGGGCATCGGCCCCAGGAAAAGCAGAAACGGATCTATCCGCACAGGCATGGCGGAAACAGCGGCGGCAGAGCAGGGCGAACAAAAAAGACACCAGAGGAGCTTGAAAAGTGGTCTTGCAAATGGCATCAAAGGAGCCAGAAGACTCTGACTTCGGATCCGCCGCCCCACGTGCGACATCGCCCGAAGTACGGCGGATCCGAACCCACACATGCGGCGTCCTGATGTTTGTTCCATTCGCGGTCACCGGAAGTCCTAGCCCTTTCCCCTGGATCGGCTGTTCATCCCGCGTCGTTTTGTGGACGGTCCCGAGGCCCAGCGAGGGCCCCCCGAAGCCGAAAGCGGCCCAAAACCTCACGCCTTGATTTGTTTAACGACGCGATCATGTCTGTCGGCGGCGAGCCAGGGGGGGGGAAGTGAGAAGGGGCGGCGCGGGCCTTCCCAGCCCTCTGGGAAGGCCCGCCTCGCTTCCCCCCAGGGCTCGCCGCCGAAAAGAATCAGGACGGGAGGATGTGGGCCGTTTTCGGCTTCGCAGTCATGTCTGCCGGCGGCGACCCAGGGGGGGGGGAAGTGAGAAGGGGCGGGCCTTCCCAGCCCTCGGGGAAGGCCCGTCCCGCTTCCCAGACCCCCGACGTCATGATTTTTTCATGACGCGACCCCCAGAGGTCCAGACCCATTCCCCGGGACCGGTTTTTCATCCCGAGTCGTTTTTTGACGGTCCCGAGGGCCGGTAAGGGCCCTCAGAGGCCGAACATAGCGAAAAACCTCCCGTCGTGATTTTGTTCACGACCCGAGGAGGTCTGGGGAAGGCCCTCTGGGAAGGCCCGCCCCGCTTCCCCCCAGGGCCCGCCGCCGCAAAGCATCGGGGCGGGAGGCTCTGGGCCGTGTGCGGCCCCGGCCCTCGCCGCGTGCCTCGGGGGGCCGGCCGAGAGAACGACCCGGGGCGAGAAGCGGGCCCTGGGGAAGGGGGGGTAAGAGGGGGAGGGGGGGAGGAGGAGGAAGGAGGAGAGGCGGAGGGGGGAGGAGGAGGAGGAGAGGAGGGAGGAGGAGGAGGAGGAGGAGAGGAGGAGGAGGAGGAGGAGGAGGAGGAGGAGGAGGAGGAGGAGGAGGAGGAGGGGAGGAGGGAGGAGGAGGAGGAGGGGAGGAGGAGGAGGAGGAGGAGGGAGGAGGAGGAGGAGGAGGAGGAGGAGGAGGAGGAGGAGGAGGAGGAGGAGGAGGCGGGGGAGGGACTTCCAGGGACCCCGCCTGACGAGGCAGGACGTCGCATGTCTGGGCCGGCTGCCGCGATGGGGGCTCGGGGTCACCACGGGGTTCCGGGGCTCGAGTCGCTCTCCCAGGAAGTCACCGGGCGATGGGGGCCTCCAGGGCCCCGGAGTCGTGTGGTGGCGGACCGCGCGGTGGGGTCGCTGGGGATCACCGCGCGCTCCGTCACCGGACGGTCTTGAAGCCCCGGCGGAGGCGACCGCGGTGGCGGCCTCGCCGCCGGCGGTGGTGCGGCGGAGCTCGACGAACGCACAGGGGCAGAATCTAGGCCTTACAGATGAGCGACGGGAGAAAACGGACTCGTCTTCACCGGCGTTTGCGCGCAGACTGCCCGCATACGCTCGCGCGCAAGCGCCCTCGTCTCGAGTGTGGCGCGCCGCGCTGGTGGCCCAGGTTAGCCGAGTAAGGTCGCTGTGCCATCTCGCGTAAGACCCGTTTAGTTCGTCGCTAAGATGGGGTAGGAGTACATTGGGTCGAAGGATCGCGATCAGGCGTGATGTGGAGCCCAATTTTTCTCCACGCCGACGTTGCCGATGAATCACCGACGCCGCCGATAGATCATCGGCGATGCATCGAGGATGCGTCGCGATCCTCCGACCCCATCTGCTCCGACCCTATATGGGATGCCTCACACAAGTAAGTATAACTTCTCGGAGGCCCGCGCGGGCTTCTTGGCTCGGCGCTGGGCCCCCCTATAGCGGCGCCTCCGGCGCCGCCCTTGGCGCGCTCCGCGTTGCAGGGAGGGGGGCCCAGCTCCGATCCGAGAAGTCTCCGCAGCCCGCCGAGAAATGATGCTCCTGCCGTCTTGGGCTACTCCAGGAGCAGCACCGGCTCGGGCAGCCTCCTCTCGGCGGAGGCAAGAGCGAGGGGTTCCCCGCCTCCTATCAAAGGGGAGGTCTTCGAGGGCTCCTCGCCTCGGGATGCTCTCCAGCAGATGCGCCTCGGAGGGGGTTCTGCGGGTGCTCGGACAGGCGCTCCCGGGCGCTCCCAGGCCCTTCCAGGCGCTCCTGGGCGCTCCCGGGCGCTCCCGGGCGCTCCCGGGCGCTCCCGGGCGCTCCCAAGCGCTCCCAGGCGCTCCCGGGCGCTCCCAGGCGCTCCCGGGGGCTCCCAGGGGCTCCCGGGGGCTCCCGGGCGCTGGGATGCCCCTAGACCCTGAGATCCGGGCGCTGCGATCTCTCCACGCCGGGCGTCTGCGCCACGGGTTTCGTGCCCGGGGCCATCGCGGGTCGATCCAGCTCGACGAGGAGGAGGAGGAGGAGGAGGAGGAGGAGGAGGAGGAGGAGGAGGA